TGCTCTTTAGAATCTGCCAAGAGAGCAAGCAGAAATGTCTCAACAAGCTCGAAAGCGCTATCGGATCCGGTCTCCAGCAAGTGTTGACTGTGCTTGAGAAGGCGATTGGCCAGATCCTGACCGCCCACCAGAACAAAGGAGACTTCCTCGGCAGTCAAGCCAGCATGTCGCTCTCGTCCTCCAAGGCCTGTCAGAAGTGCACTGAGTATTTGCAGCCACTCGTGACTGTCCTCTGTCGCGTCCTGGTGCGTATAGAAGGCAACATACACTGCAACTATACTTGACTAACTCAGTACTTAACGTCTCTCATTAGATCGAGGAGAACTGCGATCATTTCCTTGTAGCTCTTACAAAGTCATTCAAAGATCTGTATCTGCAGCATCTGAGGAAATTCCGCTTTGATCCCGACGGCGCCTGCATGCTACTGCGCGACGTGAGCGAATATCGTCAAGCACTCCGCTCTCCGTCCGTGCCAGCAGCAGTCAACGACATCTTCGACCTCTTGCATGAGGTTGCTAATGTGTTTGCACTACCACCGGAGAATCTGGGCGGATTCGTTCGGGAAGGCAAGCTGGCCGCGTTGGACAAACATACGCTGCACCATATCGTGAAGCGACGTTGGGACTACAAGGCGAATGCAGACAAGATAGCTGCGTCGTTGAAAGACGCGAGAGCCGCAATGGACGGGAAATCGACCTAGTTTTCGACATTTCAAAAGCAAGATTTCGATGTTTCGATATTTTTATCCTTAATAACCTGGTTAGTATTTTATTTCCACGGCGAGTCTTGCGTCATTTCGTGATGGAAAAACATTAATTCTTGGCGTTGAGCTCGCAAGAATTGCACTGTATGGGCGTGACGGAGCCGCCTCTTCTTCTCCTCCTCACTGCGTTGCTCCTCCACGGTCTGTAATTATCAGTAAATGTGTAAAATTAAAAAAAAAAATTGAGGCAAACCACGCATCTTGCCGTAACTTTAAGCTCCAATGCCTTCCTTTTTGAAACAAGCAGCTCGTGCTCGGCTTTCAGGCGACACATTTCCAGTTCCAGCTCCGCGACACCCGTGAGCTCCCGTATCTCTTGCACATACTCGGGCAGTTCGCGCCTTCCTTGTTTACACGCGAGGAAGCGCGAACGCTGGCGGTACTCGTAGTTCGCCGAGAGGAGCGCGGCTCGGAGCTGTTAGCACAGCTGAGCCCAGGATGTGAAACATCCAGGGGATGTTGCTTCCCGTGAGTACACCCAACTCTTAGCACGGCCGCTAAGGTTGGAGAGTGCAAAAGCAACACGCAGTTGCTCGGTCGAGATCAGAGCCGCGTCCATCGCGAGCTCTACTTCTCGGACCCAGAAGTGAAGGTTCTCGCCTTCCTTCCCTTCATACGGCTTAACTTCAGCCGTATTGGCTTCGGGTGAGGCGGATTTGCTTCCGCCGCCGGAGCCTGCAGGTTCTCCCGCACATGTGCGATGAGGTCCTGCTCGTACGCGTCAAATGCATTTCAGTCTGTCGGTTGGGCTCTGGTTGCCGTGAACACGGAAAGCTGAGACTCAGCAGATGCTACTATGTGATGGATGAAGGTAACTACGTACTTTTACACGACTCTTTTATTGTTTCCGTCCCAGCATTGACGCGTTCGAGCTGCTCAGACGGTGTTGACACCACCAGGCTCTGCAGAACCTCCATCCCGAAGATGCCTGCCATCTTCCGAACCGACTCGAACTGAGAGTTGTTCATATGGGAGAAGTCGCTCCTATCCATGGGAATGAACTTCGGAGAGGTTCAGGTAGTCTACCCGCGGTGGCGTGGATTGACTACGAGTGCTACCAAGTGTGACGGGGTCACACAGCACCTTGCGCTAGAGGAAGTTATCTTCCGAGAGTATACAAACTCTCAGTGAACGGCAGTTCACAGGTCCCCTCTTTAGTTAAAGAGAGCGAAGTGACCTAAATAAGGTAGATTGTAAACTGAGTATATTTATAGGTAGATTAAGTTTGGGTTTAATACAAACTATAAGTTACCTATAGAAATGCAATGTCGTTTAACCAATGGTTGGCTTTGAACGACCTTGGTACCTTGTACCAAATATTCCGGAGTATGACGTGTCATACTCCTGAAGTGTGAAGTGTCACACTTCATGTAACCAGAATACACTTAGGGCTACGTACCCCGTTACATCCTCCCCCACTTAGGTTCGGTTTACCGACCAATCAAAATGAAGAGGTGTTCGTCACAAACTCTCATTATCAAAGTCGAAAACCATCGACTTGGCCGCGCGAGCGCGGCGGAAACTCACTTCACAGTTAGAGCCTCGAGCAGCAACCTGTGCGCTCTTCGTCTAGGTCTCCACTTCGACCGTTATCATGCCTCGTGGCACTGCAAAGAGCGGTGCTAAGACACGCTCCATGGCTGCTGCCGGTAAGGCGCAAGCCAAGAGCACTAAGCCTCACGGCAAAGGCTCTGCACTCAAGGAGGCTACTCAGGTGGCCTCCGAGGCGATCGGTTCCTCGGGTGACGCGGCTGTGGACAAGCGCGCAAGCAAGCGCCGCAGTCCGTCGCCCTCATCTTCAGACAATCGTCCGAACACTCGGTTCGTGGAACGTGAGTTCAACTCGGGCAGTGAGGACGATGCCGAGTCCGAGAGCACTCACGATGCTCCTGCGGACTCTGTGGGAGGGCACAGCCCAGTGCCCAGTGAGCACAAAGATGACAGCGTGCAGTCGCTCGCTAGTGATCAAGGTGATCACAGTCCCAGGATCTCTATGCGCTCTGAGAGTCCGGTCGTCAAGGCTAAGGGCGCTCCCAAAGCCGGTGGCGATAAGGAAGAGAATGCTCGCAAACGTCTCTCGCTTGCCGAGGGTCTTGCGCGTGCTAAGGCCTCTAAACCCGAAGGCGCCAAGCCCTCAAAGAAGCGTACAGCCTCTAAGTCTCCACTCCGCGAGGAGAAGGAGACTCGTCGCTCCTATCGGAGTATCTTCGACTCCTCGGATGAAGAGGAGGAGTAGGAGGAAGAAGAGGAAGAGGAGGGCGCTATCGTTGAGCCCCGGGAGGTCTCGAATGACCTCGACCAGCAGCATACGCTTGGCAACGTGGAAATTCTCCTGCGTGGGGGTTCGGTGGTGGCACCCGTCAGTCAGGGAGCTGTCATCAACGCAAGAGGGTATTGGCCTCCCGAGGAGAGCTGTGGGCTGACTTCTTCCTGGAGCTTCTCGTCGCTCCTCGTGGTCTTGTGGGTGGTCACACCTCTAGGGGTGTGTACAAGCGTACTCTTGTTCAGAAAAAAACAGCTGTTTGTTGACAGCTTGGAGGCGGCTCGGTGTGTGCTTCTTGGCGCCACACCGCATCCCGTTTAAGGACTTCACGACTTGTCGTAAGAAGCCCGAGACCCGGGGTGGCCTCTATCCACTTTGGGAGTACCCCTGGGTTATGCCCGAGAACTGTCCCACGTGGAGCTCTTGTGAGGACATGTTCTGGGCTTGGGTGGAGTCCTTAAAGTACTCACCCACGGAGTTACGGGAACTCCATGAAGATCAGCTGTTGTCCCGCATCCTGGAGCAGCGTGATCTTCGTGTGAGGTTTGCCCACTTGATCAGCAAGCGTATGCTACCAAGGGGCATCCTGAAGCGCGCGGCTTCTAGCGCTCACGATGAGCGCGGGTACGGTATGTATTCATCGTCCGTACCCCGTTCGGGCAAGAAGCCCCGGACTACTTATGAAGCTGCCGCCGCTTCTGTTCCCAGATTGCGACAGCCTTCGGGCAGTCAATCAGGAGCCGATCAATCGGCTCCCACGAGTTCTCGGAGTGGGCATAACCCCTCCACTTCACGAGGAGCTGTCGCTTACCGCGACGCCGTTGCTCCAGGAGGATCCGCTCCACGTGGAAGTGGACTTCTCCATTCCGGTCAAGCAGGGGCGGAGAGGCCCTCGTACGAGTACGAGTACTCGGCGCCTCCCGAGAGCCACTCTCGTCCGAGTGCTCCGACTGCGGGTCCGACACAGGACCCTGAGGTTGACCGGCTCCGTCAAGGTGTCCTCGTGCTTGAGATTGCACTTGGCCTTGGGACTGGCGGCAATGCTGCCGCCCAGGCCGGAAATCAGGGCGAGCTCGCTCGCCTTGCGGGCCGCCTGGACCTGGTGGAACGAGAGGTCGCGAGCCTGCACCTGCGGGTGGATCGCCGGGCCTCTTCGTCCGATCTGGACGAGGCCTATCGCATGATCCGACGGATCGAGGCTTTGTTGCCACGTCCGGAGCCGCATTTGACGTACGCGTATGGTGCGTACCCGGCGAACTCAACGTACTCGGCGTATGGCGCCGGGGTCCGTTCGTACGGGGCCCCGCTGGTGTACGGTCTTGACGCAGCTTTGCCTCTCAGACCGAGGCTTGGGTGCCTGCTCCGACGCCCTTCTCGATGTCTGTGGTCGGCCCTCGCTTCGACGAGCTGGGGCAAGGGGATCTGCGAGTCAGCAACCCCCTGCGGATCAACGTACCGCTTAAGACGTCGAACATAGAGCGCCAGGTGCGTCGTCATTGACTTAGGCAAGTCAATGGTGTACGACGCATCATGTCTGGCCAGGACTGCAAATGGTCTGATGAAGCGGTGCTTCAGCTTGTTGCTGCTGACAGAGCTGACAGTGTCAAGAGGTAGGTTCCTCGTTCTACACCTTTGCCAGTCCAAATCGGCGACAGTGTAAAGCAAAGTAAAACGTCCCGTAATTAATTTTTTTAATTTTTGAATTTATTTTTTTAGAAAAAGCCTGTCATGCAAAGTTGATTTAGTGTAGTGCAAAACTTTACGTGCCGTACTCCATAGGTTCGCTACGAATAGCTGCCGCCACTGACAACGCACAGTGGCGCGCCATCTTGTTAACCAAGCGCAGATTCATACATGGCAAGCTATGCTCTGCAGCGTTTTCAAGCAGCTGCATCCGGCGCTCTGTTTTCTCTCCGTGTGGAGCAAGAAACATTACGTCATGACTTAAGGCAAGATAAGCCTTAATGCGTGCTTTTAATACACTAAAACACCCTGCCGCACAGTAAAATAGACACAAATGTTAGTACATGTGCACGCTATAATTGTCTGTAAAACGTACCCTCAATCGGGTTACACATGGGGGAGTATGGCGCCAACCGCAACAGCTCCAAGTCCTCCTGCTCAGTAATCAGATCCTCAGTCTGGCTATGAGCAGGAGCGTTGTCTAAGACAATGACAACCGTCTTGCCAGCGAAGTGGTCGCGGTACACGTCGTGGCGCTTGACCGCCTCGTACACCGCGTCCACAAACGCAGCATTGACCTCCATTTTAATGCTGCCTCTCTGTTTAGCGTAGTGCACCAGGCCCACCTCAGGTGACACGGCGCATTGCAGCTGCAGGTTCGCTCCTTTGGAGGGCGGGAGTTTGACAACAGCACGCTGGCCAATTAGAGCTCGGCCCTGTGTACGTTTGCAATACAAATTAAAATTTGTTTCATCGTAATACACAATGAAAGACCCCTTGCGCTCATGAGCCAGCAATGCTTCACCAAACTCCCTCCTCTTTTCGATATTCACATCGTTGTTACATGTTTCTGGCTCAACTCGAACCTATGCAATAAACACTAGCCATTAGTACAATACAAATAAAATATAAATTAAAATAGAGCTTATTACATGTTTCACAGTATACAACTTGTCACACAATTTCTTACTTATTGTGGAGGTGCTGACACGAACTCCAAAGTCGAAGTGCAGCATCTCCTGCATCTGCACGAGCGTGTATTGGCAGTTATCCTCCAGGTATTCTACGAGGGCCTCCTCCATCTCCGGCGTGCACTTAGTGCATGTCGCCCGCGCGCCGCCTCTCTTCTTGATGTCCGGGGTTCCTCGCTCGACGATAGTCCGAGCCGTTGTAGCTGGAATTCCGTTGCAATCGGCTACTAAGGCCCAGTCCTGCCCAGCCTTGTGTGCGTCGAGAACGCGTGTCCGGGCCGCGAGGCCATGCTTTGGTTCTGTTGGCATGATGCCAGAAGAAGAGGTTTTGATGCCGACCACCAGTTAGCTCTGCACTAAATCGCCATTGCTCTAAAGTCAATTTTTGAAAATAAAAATTAAAAATTTATTTGTCACTTAAGTTACTTCATATCGCTTTGCTTTACACTGTCGCCGATTTGGACTGGCAAAGGTGTAGTAACACTAAGTCCCCAACCTCAAATATACTTAAGTTTCCTCTTCCTTGTTTGTCTGAGTACTCCTTTTGTTTATCTTGGGCCGCTGCCATGGCATCGCGGAACCTGCTGACAATGTTCAGCTTGGTATCCATAAAGGATTTCACCTGTTTCCGCAGCGAAACTGATCTCACATCCGAGACCTGGGAGGAAAGGGCTTTCCGAGCCTCCCCCCCCACTTAGAATAGAGGAGTCAGTGTCTCCTCGAAGAGTGAGAGGCACTCTGGGGTGTCGGAAGCCGCTCAAGTAGAACGGCGTGAACCCCGTGGACGCGTGCACCGCGTTGTTGAGCGCAAACTCAACAACTGGAAGCTGCGTCGACCACTACGTGGTGCTGCCGCAGCCACACTGCGCAGCGTGTCCTCGAGCACTCGATTGACGCGCTCTGTTTGGCCGTCTGTCTGCGGATGGTCCGCAGTGGACATCTGCAGACGAGTTCCCCGTAAAGGGAACAGCGTTTTCCAAAACGCAGCGGTGAACCGCGAGTCTCGGTCCGAGACAAACGTCTCCGGGAGACCGTGATAGCGGAACACGCCATCGACGAACAACCTTGCGGCTTGTTCGCCCGTAACAGTGACGGGAACTGGAGCAAGATGTACCATCTTGCTCAGCCGACACACGAACACCAAAATTCCGGTGTTGCCGTGTCCGTCGGCGGGAAGCGCAAAGATGAAGTCAAGACTCATCGACTTCCAACAGTCAGCCGGTACGGGCAGGCTCTGTAGTGGAGCCGAAGAGTGCCCCGCGGGTTTGACCCGCTGACATGTTTCACATGTCTTGACGTACCGGGCGACCCACTTATACATGTGGGTCCACCAGAAGGACTGAGAGACCGACAGAAAGGTCTTCTCGCGGCCCAAGCGGCCGCAGGAGGGCGCGTGATGTGCCTTCGCGAGGATGTCAAACTTCAGATCCTCGTCGTTGGGTACAACCACCCGTGGAGGATCCGTGGGCTCCACCCGGTAATAGAGGAGGCCCTCCTTCAACTCATATCGATGGAGCCGTGAGCGCTGCCGCGACGAGAGCCAGTCGGACTTTGCGCTGGTTCCGGCCATAAGGAACTTGACGATAGGCGCGGTAGCCTCATCGTCTCGATACGCCATGCGTATCCGATCATATAGATCCGTTGTCACCCGCGTGATGTGGGCCAACTCATAGTCGGGACGCCGAGAGAGGGCGTCCGCAAGCACGTTGAGTTTGCCCGGCTTGAACTCGACGCGGAAGTTGTATTCCGCGAAGAAGGACAGCCACCTCGCCATCCTTTGGGAGAGGTGAGGCCAGTTAGTCGCCGTCCTCAAGGACGCGTGGTCTGTGTAGATCACAAAGGGACTAGAGCCCAGAAGGTGAACACGGAACTTCACAAGGGCATATTTCATTGCCAGGAGCTCCTTGTCATGGACAGGGTAGTTCCGCTCGGCGGCTTTGAGCTGCCTGGACTGGAACGAGATGACTCGTTGGTGTCCAGCCGTGTCGGCCTGCTGCAAAGCACACCAGATGGCGTAATCGGAGGCATCGCAGACGACGCTAAACGGCTTCGTCTCGCCCGGCAGGGCCAGGACAGGGCCTCTTGGAGACTGGCCTTGATGCTGTCAAAGGCATCCTGGTGCTCTTGCTCCCAGCGCCAGTCGACGTCTTTCTGAAGGAATCCCGACAAGCGCTTAGCGAAGCTCGCGTACCCTGCGCTGTACTTGTGAAGGTAGTTGGTCAAGCCCAACCACTTTCGAAGATCCTTTTGGAATCGGGGCGTCAGCCATGCTGTTATGGCCTTGACCTTGTCTGGGTCAGCCCGAACGCCCACGCTGCTTACGAAGCAACCGAGAACTTTAATCTCTGGTGACGCAAAAACGCACTTGTCGATGTTGGCGTAGAGCTTGTTCGCTCGCATTACGTCCAACACTCGACGGAGGTGTCCTAGATGCACCTCCATGGCCGTCTTGCCTCCCTCGGCACGGCTAAGGACGAATATGTCGCCGAAGTACGTCTGTACGAAGGTACGCAGTGGGCGGAACAATTGCGTTACCAGGCGATTGAACGTCGCCGGGGCGTTAGACAAGCCCTGCGGCATGACGAGCCACTCCCAAAGCATGCCGCTTGGAGTGCTCACCACGGTGATCGGGATGTCACTCTCTCGCATCAGGATCTGGTAGTATCCGTCTACCAAATTCACTGTACCGTACGCTTCCGACCATGTTGTTTAAAAACACATCCTTTCGTGGAATTGGTGTTTGGGCCGGCACCGTTGCGTTGTTCAGCTTGTTATAAGCGTGAGTCGGACGCCACTTTCCGTTCGGCTTCCGAACGCAGAAAGTCGGCGTCGCGTGCGGGGATTTCGACTCCCGCACCATGCCTGCCTACGCTTTCGCAGTGAAGAATGCATCAATGACCTCGCACTGTTCTCACGGGAGAGGCCATTGTCTCGAGACACAATACTTTGTGCCAGGCACGAGATCAATCTCATGCCGTACGCCTTGATCCGGTGGGAGTTGGGTCGGTGGGTGTTTGTTCACCACATCAGCATACTCCGTCACCAAAGGATATACGGGATCCTTGAATTTCTTCAGGATCTCGGAGCCCAAGCGCGTCTGACGCTGCTTGTTCAGGTCTTCCAGGACGTTCTAGTCCAAGACAGAGGAGGAGTTCAGCTCCTCCTGAGTGGTCTCAGGTCTCATGAGTACCATCTCAGCAATCTCTCCAGCCTTGAGGTTGGTCAGGAAAGACTCGATCGTCATTTCCTCGAGGTTCAGTATCTCTGGGACCTCTGGCAACGGTTCCAAGTGGACACCAGATGCCTTGACGGGTAGACCGGTCTCGCCATCGAAGATGTGATAACACTCTTCCACCGGCCTTGTCGGAGGACCCCGGTCCCTGGACACTGAGTCGCGTGAAGCGACGTTGATCTGAACGAAGTTCAGATCGGACTTGTGGCGGCGGCGGGGGCGTCGTCGTCGACGAAGACCATGACGTGGAGCTTAGTTATACAAGTCTGGGGATGTCAGAGCGCCGACATTCGAGGCACTCGTGGCCTCGTGTGGTACTGTGGTACCCACACAGGAAGCGAGTTCGACGTCTTCCTCTTCAGTTAAGGTCTGGGTGACCGCGTGTGGCACTATGTTACCCACACAGGAAGCGTATCCGACGTCTTCCGCTTCGGTTTAGGTCTGGGCGACCGTGTGTGGAACTCTATTACCCACCCTGAACACGTTATTGTCAGTGTTCGTGACAGCTGCAGCTGTCTCCGGAACTAGGTTACCCGCTTGTGGACCTAAGTTACCCACTTGTCCAGCGCCTCCTCTGGGCGCTGCCACCATCAAAACATCCTCGGAGTCGTCATATACGTCGACGACTCCCAAGCATATGCCGGATGCTTTGGTACCCTGGCAACCCTTGCGGGCGCCCCAAGGCCTGACAGAAGTGATAACATGACCCACCAATGTTCTGTCGGACTTAGCAGGGCGGTGTGGTGAAGTGCTTTCTCAAAAATGAGAGAATGGACCTAACAAGGGGTCCCTATCCCGAATCAGTGACATTTTAAAGTGGTTAGAGAAGATTTGGATTGCCAGGCAGGGATTCACGCTGCCCGAGGTGGATTGGACATGATAAGCGGCATCCCGTATGAGCCGACGATGGATCTGGTATGGATACCGTACGGGAAGGCGGGATCCACCAAGGGAAGACTTGGATCCACCCTCACCTGAGTTCACTTAGGGGGATATGGGATATTCTATGTACAGGTGGATAGAGTGGGGATCTTATGAAGGAAGAAAGGTAGGTGTCATCTGAAGGTGGATCTGGCATCAATGACTAGTGAGAAGGCTAGATCCACCGCGATATGTCCCAGATCCCATACTTCCGAGTCCGGATCCAAGGAGGTGAGGATCCCACACGGAGTGACCTGGATCCAAGATAAGGGGATGGTGGATTCAGTGAATCTCCAACTTTCGTGGAGTGATAAAGACCACAACCCGTCGTAAGACAGTGCTGGGAGATTGGAGGGCTCAGATCCATGACGAGTGTACACTTGCAGAGCGGTGGATTAGGGTGGTCGGATCCGGACAAGTGTACCCATAATGTGACGACCATAATGATTACGCCATGGAGCCGGTGGATCTGATAATAATACAGCTGGGATGGTGGGTCCAGGAGAGAAAGGACATGCAGCCGAGCCTAGTAAGGGATTTAGCAGGTAAAAGACATAGAAGGTAGAAATCCAGGCAGGTATAGGCATAAGTATCAATACAGACTTCAATTTGCACAGTAACACGCAAGTGCCTTCCTGCCCTCAAGAATCGGAACTACATTGGCCGTACGAGCTCGGAGAAGGTTGGGAATTGCAAAACTAGTGTTGGTAGTGATAACTGGATAATACATTGGCCAGATCCTACAACCTAGTGAGCTTTCCTTTACACGTGCAGATCCGAAAGGCTAACCGGATTTACTACTTGGTTGACTACACCCTAGAAGTTCTCAACTCTCAAGATCCCGTCACAGGAGGCGGCAAGTACGACGCAAAGGAAACGCAAAGGCAAGGAAACATACCCGCAAGGCAACCCTACGGCCAATTCCACGTTCTAGGCCCTGGATCCATCAAGCTCGAATATTCGCTTGGGATCCAGAACCAACTACGGACGCAGAGTGAATATTTTACCACTGCTGCTCCACCCATCCCCACGTCTCGCCAGGACACTCAAGCTTCACCACTTGAGCGTTTCGAGAGTTACCGAGAGACCAAATTCCCGCCCTCCCGACGGGTACACAAGGTGAGAAAAGTTCAGCAGAGCACGGATCATCGGGGGA